AAAAAAGACGGTTGGGTTTAATAAAAAAATTACAAAGAATCATAAAGTAAAATTACACCTGTATTTTTCAAGCAGTCCTCCCTTACAGTTGTACGTTTATCCTAGCGTTTAACCATTACATCAAACTAATCGCCAATGTGGTTAAATAGCCCTAGGACAGCCTGCCCCATTCCGTCATCGGTGGCCCTCTACCCAGCGTGTTTGCGAATGATCATTCTATGTTCACCGTTTCCACTGAACAGATTATGCCATGATGAGGCAGGTGTTTCATGCGCTGACTAAATGTTCACAGGAATGACTGTAGTGGTAGCGGACCAGAACTCTATCGCCACGCCTAAGATCGGCGCTGATTTACAGTTTCATGACCGAATGCTGAAGCCTTCAAAATATTCAAACGTCTTACCGCCAGTAAGACAGCGGGCTTGAAATTTTTAAAAGTTATGAGTAGCTACGGGTGTTCGTTACTGTTCACAGGATGCTTCATTCCAATACCGCATCCTCTCTGCGCACTAAGATCGTCGATCGTCATCTGCCCCACCACATGTGCGTCTCACTCTACCGCAGCTTCAGCTTCTAATGATCTTAACTTTATAAAACTGAGTTTTTCTACTAAATCCTCCAAAGTACCAACTTATTACTGAAAAGGCTTTTTTTAGATACAATGTCTTTATCTTTAAACCTCTTCATCGAAACAGAATTAATAGATAGACAAGTAACATACTGCTCCAACATATCACATCTCATTTCAATTCACAGGCCTACCTAATCAAGTTTAAAACATACTTAATTAAGTAGAATTTCAGCTAAACAATTCTTACTACTTTTTGTACCTTTGTTGATGGTTAACGTCAAGAGTTTGTTAGACCTTGAGATACGTCAAGTCAAGGAAGAATCTCTATTTGCGGCTTGGTGACCAAGTTTTATTACCCTCTAAGAGGTCGGTAAACGCCAAATCCGTACTTCCTCCGTCCCCTCGATTCCTTCATATAGCCAAGACGAAAGTTGAGGCCTGCTTCAGACGCAGACCAAAGTGCGTGGGTGCGCTCGTGCAGGGAGGTAATGCTTAAAAAGTCAAGCCCTCATGTGATTGGCTATCCCAATACTTGGTCGTCATCATCTTCAAATACTAATGGAATACGGACTTGGGCAAAATTAAATATCACAGACTGTGTAGGTCCGAAAACCACTCCCAAAACGTTAGACTTCATAAAAATTACTTAGTAGATGAAGTCAGATGTAGAATTCAATGAACTAAATAAATGTAAATTAGACTTGTTTATAATAGCTTCTAGAATCTTTAATTTAGGAGGTGGAAGGATGCACATTTCATTTATCATCATTTCATTATTCCTAATATGGCATTTGGGGTTGTGCAGAAAATGTAATTTATTCTGATTCTAGTTTTTACAGTCTTTTTTTCAAAAAGTGGCCCAACTTTTTGACTCAGAATTGAAAAAATCAACTAGAAACTGATTAACTAAGTAGAAGTAGAGTGATTATACTTGTCACAATCCTGTAAATAAATAGTTAAAAATTTTTTTCTAAAACAAAATCTAAATAAGATTTCTGCCATGTGTTTATTAGGGCTAGTATGAAAAATAGTAGCCGGATTACTTTTCCTTAAGGGAGCTATCAAGCAAAATCATTACAGCCCATATAAATTTACAGTTCCGCACTTCTACATTAATATCTATGCTCCTACCAAGAGAGCTAAAAACTAGCTACCATAGAAGAGATCCAATTAAATTTATTCCAGAAATGCACCGGTAGCCACCAAATCCCAAGCACTTGTTTTTAGTGTATTTAGGTAAATAGTTGAGTAAATATAACAGAAATTAACAAGAGATTAGTATTCATATAGCACTATATTTCACGATGAATACCCATGCGTTGGAGAACCTAATCACGACAACACAGGTGTCAAGGTTTGTGCTCTAAAACCCACCATGTCCAACTCACATCGAATACATAACTTTTGCAATCTAAATGCTCATTCCCTTGGTGAAACCCACAACTGCTAATCATGCCCATAAAAAAGAAATTTCGGACTTTTTGGGTGCTTTAACACGGTGTAGTCAAACGCTCATTTGGGATTCGCAAAAAAACCTAGCAAGTCTGAATGAACGGTAAACCAAGGTCACATGTACATCTTTGCGTACAAGTTAAACAAGTTATTTGATGTGTTAGGATATTTTTCTGTACCATCCAAAGTACATAACACGTAAGTGTTGCCCTTTTAATGCTTAAAAATTCTAATATTTTTGTTGGAAATAATGGGTTTGATCATGTCTAGGTGGATCGTGTGACTGCACTGTCAAACTGACAACACTGCAATCTGGTGTAAGAGTTGACGTCCAAGGTGAACTAACAGTCTGTTCTGCTTTTTGGCGATGGAGCATAAATGTAAGTCCCTATGCTTTCATACCTAGCACTTAATGCGTTATCATAAAGAGGTAAGTTTATTTCTAGGGTGATTGCTCAATAATGCATAAAAGTGGTTTTTTGAGATCCATTCTCGTACCCTCTGGAGCTGCTAAGCACACCGGAAGTAAAACGCTTCGAACTTACGCTTGTTGAAATCATTTCAGGGATGCAGCAGCATGGGTGCCGAATATGGTAGAAGTGGGCAATTCAAGCAGATGACAAATCCAGATGTGAGAACATCTCCCTTTGATGGCCTGATAGGCGACTCGATTTTCTTATGGCGGTGCCAAAACGGTAATTCTTGTCGTCCTTTAAAATAATTTATACATTCTGAAAGAATATGGGACTGTGGAGCTTAAAATAGAAGAAATTAACAAATTCTGTCCAAACATCAATACTGAGGTCTGCAACTAATATTTGAAGACCATCTTAACCTATATTTTAGAGGAGTTGTGCGCTCTGAGTGCTGATGAATTACTTTAAATATTCATTTTAACATTAAAAAATAATCTGTTGCCCATAGTTTTAGCTTATTTTGATGCAAACATCAATGATTCTGCATTAATTTGACGCCGATACGTTTTCTACCCGAATGGGATGTCAATAATACCCATGCGAAGTCTTTGTTGCTATAATTACTTTGACTTCAAGAAAAGTGGCAATCTGTTACTTTGTAGTTAAAAACAATGTCAACCACTGTCTATTTTAAATAAATAATGATCAAATGTAAATTATTTGGTTAAATCCGGATGCACATAGCTTCTGCTGCTAGAAGCTGTCTAGTGCAAGGTAAGATAAAATGGGACTTGTCTTCTTTTAGAAAAATGACAATTTTTGTGCTGATTTTGAGAGGAGAAAGTGTAATGTAATTTGGAAACGCTTGAAATATTACCCATGAATGTTACAACGCTGCAGAAGTCGCCAAGTCCACTAAGTGGAAATGCGCCTTTAAGCACTCCAAGAAAGGTTAATGTCGTTCCCTATAGTCCCCACCTCCGTTTAACTGCTTTTAGGGATTATCTGACCTTACCACTTCTTTTTATGTATCAACGGCGGATATATTTTGTTGCCACCTCTGCTATAGGCGGACGTGGATACGGTGAAGTGATGTGGGAGATGGCTCAATTCTTACCATATCATGCGGATCGTAATTGTAGCGAAGAGGAATACCTTAGACCCTTTCAGTTCATAGCAAATCGACATCTTTGATGCTCTACCATTGTCATTCGTACTGACAGTCTCCACAGCCTTCTGTTCGCTTCATAACACCTTGTCGCCAAAATGCAGAGGCTAAAAAGCTTTTCAAGTGATACTTTATTTCTAAACACTAGTATACAATGCGTAAATACGTGGCGTTAAAGTGTAGACGGCAAATTTTACACACTCAGTCATTTAACCGTTACTCAATAGGTTTTTAAGCTCATACAGCATAATTGTCTTTCGATCGGAATATTTATAGGCGTAAATAAAACACTTTCAACCCTTCTATGCTGCTTTAATAGATTTATCTCGGCACCCACTTTCAAACGTACCTTATGGATTAAATTGTATTATTTTTCAATTATTAAGAAGTAATTGATAGTGTTCAAATAATGAAAAAAAAATATGAGCTCAAGGTCCTGCAAATTAATAAATTTTTCTCAAGACTTAAATGCTGGAAAAACAAATTGAGGACACATTTGAAACCTTACCACGAATTAAGATTAGCTTTGTCACTCTGCTCTAGGAATTGTAGTTAATGCCTCAGGAGGCTATGGCAAAGTGTCATGTGAAATTGGAACAGATTTTCTGAATCGTAATACAGGATGGATCTGTAGAACCGTCACTATACCTTCAGGATGGACGGCATCAGGAAAGGTAAATCGGAGACCCCATTATTGTTGTCTCTTCTACCCCATATCTTTATGCGAAACTACATTAATTTCATGAGGCCACCCTAGCAGCACAAGCTAATAATGTATTCCCGACCAGTCAGCAACTGGCTTAAACAACGATAAGACCGAGAATCGCCGTAGAAAATTCTACCAGAGCACAAGATGATACCCTCTGTCGGTTTAACTGGTGTTTAATGAAATTTGAGCAATGGTTTATAGTGTCGGCAATTGTAATCGTTCATATGGTGTAGTAAATTATCCCCAAATACTTGATTTTCCCTGTCATAAAAGTTGCATTCTGACTCTCAAATTGCTAATTTGGGAAATGTTTCTAGTCTAGAAGCAAAATACTCTGAAAATCGCGCCCAGACTTTAAGGATAAAGAATACATAACTCTGCGGATGTTTGATACCATAGATAAAGGACGTTAACTGCAACACCGTCACGACATTAAAACCTGTAAAACAGATGACAGGACAGCGAACAACTGAAAAGCACCCAGTGTCCGTTGTCTGACTTGCGCTAGCCAATGAAAAGTGTGACCTTAACATCTGCTCCAACTGACCAATGGACGCCGAGCACGTGAATGGGACTCGCAAGGTGTGAGCAGACAGCCAGGCGATGTTAAGCTTAGTTGTATGATAGCAACGGAAGGTATGCAGTAGATGTGGCCGTTCATTCTTCTCTCCTGCCTTTTTCCCTTGCGAGTGGAATCACGGGAGAGGCTTTTCTTCACGTCTACAGACTACGCAATCTACTGTGCAAGACTGGATAAGTTCCGGAAATGTTCAATTCTTCACGTCGCCTCCTCAAAGAATGATTTTGGGAAATTGTTGACCTCTCCAAAAGTGACCAAATCCATTTTGGGGGGTACGTGTACTATTCAACTTATGCTTACCTTCATTGGTCAGGTCAAACCAGTTAGGGATGGATATAGAGCTCAGGTGTTTTTGTAGGATAATATTCGAAACTTTTTTGGAGTAGTCACTCTTGCCGAAATATCAAAAAGTACCTACTTGCGATTTGTTCTATCCGATGGTACAGAGCAACTAGAGCGAAGAAGCTGACGCATCACCTTGATACCACTTAAGACGCAAGTATCTAACCACTAAGTATCACACCGATTCATATGTTTAATTGTAAAGTTGTGAAGATATTGACAAAATCGACACTCGCTTTGTGTTGAAAGTAATGTCTCTCTAGTTCTATGTCGACAAAGAAAATTAACAGAAAATGCCAACCTGTGTACTTTCAAAGTTGCATTAAATAAAATCCGTTATGTTGACTATTCATTCAGCTATGATTTGGAAGGTACACATTTTAGCTGTATGTGCAGTTGACTTATTCCGAAAACTAAAATGGGTTTTCGTAACTTCAATCCATTTAATTTGTTTTGCGTTGTTAAAAGTACAAGTAATTGAAACTCTGATAGCATGACAAACCGTCTTTTGTTTGTTGAAGCTCTGTGAGTGTGTTAGGTAGCACTAATGTTGGGACGTGAAGGCGCCATAGAAATGAAATCATTCTATCGAATCGGACGATATTGTGTAAACGCATGCTTTAGGCCCACAAGCAGCTCATTACATTCCTTGCAAGATGACGTCCTTTCTGTTTATACTGTTTTTCTACTGTTTGCCGTGCCCTGTTGCGATTACTGAAAATCGCAATATCTGTACAACAGAGATCAAATGAGAGGCGAGGCAAAAATGAATAAGACGCGTACAAAGCAATGTAGAATTTCACATTTTATTCCGCAGGTCAGTTTATTTAGGGTACAACAGTAGAAATGTCTTTATCTAATCAAATCTTTGACAAATAAGCAGGTAGAGAAGCTAAAAAGTCCTTCAATGAAGTTTGTGCAGTTTGCTTGAATTGGGTCTTGCATTGTTTAGGAGGGAATGGAATGTGGTGATTCAGGTAACGCATATGAATCAATCACTCAAAGGATTTTTTGAATGTGTAGAACCGAACTTTGAACGGGACATACCTCTCGAAGCATTTCACTGAATTGGTTTTTTGGAAAAAATACAATTGACCTTCCCCTTAAGATTATCGGTGCTTTTTGTCGGTCTCTGAGGCGATACTCAGACTCTTAGGTTGTTTTATGGAGTCTTTCTCGTTTCTAAGATCTGTCTCCAAATTGCTACCGCATTCCACATTAAAATGGTTCCTCATTTTGAAGAGCCCCTTAATGAAGCCGTTTGCGTTGAAGACTCTAGGTCTGGTCCTCCAAATACTCATAGCTACGATTTCAGTGGCAATTAATCAACATACTTTGAAGTTGCCATTCATTTACAAAGTATGTGTTATTCGTGTCTAATTGGGGATTTTGGGCTCTAGTAAAGAGTAGGTCATGGTTGCTTTTACGGAAGCATACTTAATGTTGAAAATAATCAGGTGAAGAGAAAGTGTGTTCGCTATTACAATGCCAATTGCTCTACTGAAAAGACCTTTTCAATTTGTTCTTGCTAAATAACATGCAGTTGTTCCCGATAGCGAGAAATTTCTATCGGTTCGGTAGTATAAGTTCCGGTAGCATAAAAAGTGGCAGTAAATTTTGGTATACGTACGAATGGTAATATTTACGACTGTCAACTTTTAGCCAGACGGCTCCCATTCCTTAGTCGAAACGACAAAAAGCTACCCCATACACACCTTTGAGGGGTATGGGTTTTTAGTTTACCTCCCTTCGAAGGCATTGGCTGAGGATTTTTTCTAGAAGTGAAGTCCATTGTCAGCGTAAGTGAGTAATCATCGCGTGTTCCCGAGAACGTACATAAATTTCCATCTACTATTCGTTTATTTATTTGCCGTTACTGGTAGTGCCATTTTCTCATGGTCAATTCGGTGCTTATTGCTAAGCCTAAATTAAGCTTATTCTATTTGTGGATCCAATTTAGAAGAATCTCTAATTTCTTTTAGTTTAGCTTCCGCCCATCGCTGGAGTTGAGATTTGGTCCCGATAATACCTTGGTCTCCTCCGTTAATAGACCAGTTAAAAATCAGCATGCCCTGCATAATTTGGGAAATGGTAAGTGATTTTAGCTAAATGACACCTTAAGAAACTGTTTGGAACTGAGTCGTAGGCGTTACTGGCCTTACTATGCGCCTACACTACCCAAGTGCCATCCATCAAAGCAATGTTGAATGCAATTAGGGACTTGAATCAAGACCGAGACTGGCCTATCGCACAATAGGTAAAGTAGCCCCAACACACCCAAGCACACACGCATGTTTCCCATCTTGGCATCCGCCGCTACCCGTCTAATCGATTGGGGTGGACGTCCGGGCGGTTCGGGTGCACGCCTGCCTTTGCGCACGCGCGTACGCATGCACAACCCTGCTTCTAAAAATAGCCACTCTGTTGACAGCTGCCAGCCTCTTTCCACCTGCTTACATTTCATAACTGGTGGTTTTGTTACGAAGACAGAATCGACTGCATGGAATAGTACAAGCTCTTGTGTTTTGATAATAGATTTAACTTTACTAATCCTTTTCTCAGTGTGATAGTTCCTCAGCAGCAGTTATTGCTGCTTTTTTTGGAATTGATGGATAGAGTCAGTGGCCAACTGCTGCGGCACAGTATATCGAGCGCCTTAATTTGCATTGTGTATAGAATACTTAAGAATTGCATGTTACTTTGAGAAAAAAAGGGAAAATTATTTACCAACAGTTATGTGATTTGCATTAAAACCTTTAAAAGTCCTATTCTTTTATCCATTTTGTCTTCAGTTATATCGTTCACTGTGTCAAAGTTCTTGATGATAACCTTGTTTGGACCTCTTTAGACATGGTTATCCAAGGCGTTCAAATTTTATGAGTGAATTCTATATGAAACATTTACCAACTAACGGAACCTTAGTGAAAGTTGAGAAATGCTTTCGATAATGTTGAGTAACATTGGAATACTGAATGGGTTGGTAATATTAATTTCGATGGTGATTTCGTAGATTTGCTTGACAAACTTGTTTCTGACAAAGTCTCACTGCCCCTACTAGTCTAGAAGCAGCTATCTTTGAACGTGGTGAATGTGACAAATTCAAAGAGAGATATAATACTTTAGTGGCAGATCTTCCCATCATATCTGTATTACCCTGGGGAATGTAAAATGGTTAAATTTGTGGGAATTGTGGACCGACTGCACTCTATAAAAGCACTTTCCTTGGATAGGTAACATTCCATTACTACTCCCATTAAAAAGCATTGAGAATAGTGCTATTAAGCTGCGCACAATGCAGCATTTTGATACGATTGCTTTATTTCCATAGCTGTGTGAGTTTCATCGCAATCCTAAAGGGTTTGTGGATAAAAAATGAATCTTAATTAAGAGGGTTTTCCCCTTTTTCCCCAGGGTTGTTATTTCGAACATCTAACAAAGTACATCACCGTTGATCATGTACCGATTGTATATCTTTGTAGTCTCCATGTAAAAATGGCGTATTTTTGAAATAAAGCTCTTTTAACGGCTAGTTACTTCGGTCCAATGCTGCACAAATTCTCTTTTTTTTACGTGAGATTTTTTCGTTTTCTGGCTGCATTTTTGTATATTTAAAAGAAAGTTTTTGGAGCAATAGTTTTATCAATTGCTCAATTCCTTTTTATTGTAAGGGTAGTGAAAGTGACCATTCTAGACTTGCATTCTGCGGGGTTCTTACTCCTAGGTAGCCACGGTTTCACTTACGGCCACCGTGTTAGTTACTCAGTCCCGGTTCTTGTTTCTGCCAATCCGATTATAGACTGGCTGACTTGCTGCCCGAAAAAACTTTCAGTTATTCCTTTCCCTCTCTCACTTAGAAGATTGCGAGCCTATATTTGTTTTAAGTTTATCAGGTCGCTAAGTGGAAGATCTCTTTTGCTTTTTTTTCTGTACGAGAGATGGGGATGCAATAAAAATAAGCAAATGGTAGCTAATGGGAAAAGAATCAGGTTGGATTTGGCAATACTTCTGCCAGGCAATTATCAATTAATTCTAGAACAAAATGGAGAAGGTATTCTCGTTCATCATATCCATGAAACAACATTGTTGTCATCTCAAATCAGATGATTTGTTTTAATGGGTAGTGTGTTGTCGTAATCCACGTCTCTATGGTGTGTGTGTGTGTGCATATCGTTTTATATAGGGATTTTAGGAGATGGTGGTCATTGTTCGCAGATAAATGATGACACGATTTAAATTACGGTGGTAAAGTGGCAGTTTGAACCGCGCTCTATGGGAAGTGCACATTCTGGGTCAGTCAAATGTAGCAATGACACTTGTTTGAAGGAAATATGAGAAATGTCCGTGTTTCCACAAAGAGTATTTCTTCATAGTCGCAATTTTTTACCAAGAATTGTCATTTCTAGTCAGCGTAAAATATTCACCTGTACCTGTTGGAAGTGTGTGCACGCGAAGAAGGCAAGGTGTCGACTGAAGGTATTTGGAACAGCGCGGTTTGACTGCTAAACAGCTTTTTTTCTACAGCCTCGGTATGGAAGGTATAAGCGAAAAGAACATTTGTTCGTCCTTCAGTCACCGTCTGTTGGTGATACACGATCAGATTGCACCCGTTTACGAAGGTATTCTCAATGAAGCATCGAATTACCTCTGCATCTGGCAGTTGGATGTAAGCATGCGCGATTGCAGTTTCTATAAAGTTATCTACGGAAGTGCAATGAATTAGGCTCGGTTACTTGGTACTGTAAGTAGATTGCTGTGTCTCAAAAATTGTCAAAGAAAGTCATGTTTGGAGAAATATAGACATTCAGATGGATTGACTAGTCTAAACTCCATTCCACGAAGCCATGTAACGTTAACGCTGTAGTGAATGTTGCTTTCAAAAGGAAACTTTTGGCTTTTTGGTATATTTTTTAGGCAGTCACTGTTAAATCCACACATAGAAACATCCCGGAGTGATGGATCGTAAGGGGTGAAGTGCAATTTCCCAGTATCAGTTCCCACCCAGATCTGACATCCATTTCAGAAATCAAGAACCTTTTGTTGTTCAATCGTTAAACGAATCTGATGCTAACAGTGGAATTTGAAATGATGATTCCTAGGATTGAATGTACTCGCCTTTTCAAAGTTCGTATATGTTTTAATCATTCAATGAAAAGACTTCTTATGTCGTTGAAAAACGCGTTAAGGCGTTCTACTTGGCTTGAACCGTCATGCTGATTTGAACCGGGGAAACGGGCACCACTTTTCTCGCAAGAAAAAAACACCAATTCCAATGATTTTGAGTTTTACAACGCGATGTCAAATAGTCCGATTGGAAACACACATACCCTCCCTTTGCGTGTGTATTTGCATGCGTGCAACCGGTTAATTTAATTTGAGTACACTCGATAAAATACCCCGCTAACCAGCTGGATACTTTGACGCAGAACCCGGCGGAGTTCTTGCTCTAAAGGTTTTTTCACTCATTACTTCGGGTGTCTTATGCAGCCTTGGTAATTCTGCAGCGGTCAGACTAAATGCAACAGTGCCTATTTCGAAGGCAGCCAAAACAAAAAACTGCATTCATGTTGGAAAATTTCTACTTTCTGTGAATCAGGAGGTAATTTCAACCTCAATATGCATAATATCATAAGGTTACGAGGTAAGGGTCCCCCCCCAGTAGATTACTGTTTTTCTGTTAAAAGAGTTTGTTGCTTGTGTGAGATTTCAAATAGCATGGATAAGAATGAAACACCGTTGTTTAAAGTGTTGGTGATACTTTGGCTTAACACTTAAGGGTTTCACAATTTTAGTAACCTCTCAAGGCGTTCTGCCATGTTTTGCTCCAAATAGTCGCCAAATGAGAGGCTTGTAAGTTGTTTAAAAATGCACCACTTTTTCTTCTCCAAGCGCTAATTGTTTCACCATTTGAAGCGAAAACAAATACTCTCACTCTGCGAGGTTTTACTCCGTTTGATATGGGTGTCAATTAAAATTTGGAAGAAGCCCTGTTTCAACTATTAGTAGGACGAAGAGATACAAGGGATGAATTATTATAATCAGTTAAATCATTGTCTTCAAAACGTCAATCTTTGTTAGTTTTTTTCCCGATGAATTATACAATTGGTTTTCTTCTGGTGAATATACAAGCTGCGTCAGTCACTGGAGTTTATTAGCACTTTAATTTAAGGAAAGCAATAAACAATAGAATCATTCAAATTTTATGCAAATTTTGCACACATGTTTTTACTTGATACCTTCGTGTAACAGGCTTTTGTGGTCCGTTAATTAACCACAATTTTTGTCTATGGTACCTCAAACTTGGTGAAAGAAATTGACTTTCTGCCACCATCCAATTATTTGACCTATTTTCGCCCTTCATTTATGTGAAGAAATTTTCTAGAGAAGACCAAGGACTCCTCTCCAACTTTCAATATGAAGGATTTGAAGCGTTCATATCGGGGATAGGAGAAACAGGCACAAAGTATAATGTGAAATGCTTATGGCTTGTAGACGTTTCACTTTTGATACGGTAATGTGTCCTGATAATTAATACGTTTTCCTGTGATATGTCGTAAGCATCCGCTCATGCATGTGGACGTCGTACTCCAGTTGAATTCGCAGGTCGACCGCAAGATATTACGTTTCTAACTCCTCATTATCGCTTTTATTTAATGCATTTTCAACTTCGCTAGTCGCCAATTTTAATCTTATTAAAAAGCCGCCTTTTTGGTAATGCGTTTCAAGTAAGGTCCACGCATTCCCATAAAGTAACTACTTGTCAGTATTACGCATCCTTAATCTTTACCTACTCCTTTGATATCCACTTCATTGGAGTAATGAGGAGTTTCTCGTATCTTCATCCATCCTCGCAGTACGTTCACTTTATTCTTTAGTCTTTTAGTTGCGTTTTATCTAAACTAGTGTGGTGATTTGAATATACAAACACCCAAACCCATCTGGCGCATGCGTATGAATGCTCGTTTTACTAGTGTTCGAGGGGTTGTCAAATTTTCCTAAAAACCATTGAGATTACATTGCATACATCGCTCTTCGGTACGGTGTAGAAAATCAGAACATACTGACGGAAAATTGGGCAATCTGCAATAGACACAGGGACCATTCGCCCTGGGACCGCTTGTGCTTCATCACTGGAATGCATTAACCAGAAGTGAGGCAAACACCTCTCGTCTGAACGTCGATCAACGTGAGAGAGATGAGTAATGACCCCCGGAGTTTAATTAAAACGAGGGAAATGAGTAAGTGGGTTTAAGCTAGGTATATGCTTCAACTCTCTAGTGTTTAATAATGGGATTCGGGGCCATCCGAGCGTTTGTTTAATAAGACACACTGCGATGATCATTTGGGAATTGATGCTAAGCATTCGCCATATTGACTTAATCGACGACATGCTGAAGCCATACGATCCATTTTAGAGTACATCGTCACGACCGCTCTCGGATCTCAGATGCCTCACCATGTTGTTTTCTACCAGGTAGGGACTTTTCGACCTTTTTGATTCACCAATCACGCTAATATATGTCGGATAGGTAGTTGTGAAGTTGGCTGATCCATACAACTGACGGAATCCATGGAAATAGGTGCACCGCACATGGGTCTTAAGGGTTGGAAAGGTCAATCAGGGAATATGTGTTCCAATTATTTGGTTTTAATTACTAGCTTACAAGAAGAGAAATTAATTTAACCCAAACTTTTATTTCTTTTCACAATTTTGCAAATTTGAAATCATCAAATTACTAGGGTGTCATCAATTTGATATTCAATAGCTAACTGTAGATTAGTGTTTTACTTCAGAATTTTACCATATTTAAGAACCTTTTAAATTCGGTGGGTCAACAAAACTTGATTTTGCAAAGATGGTTTCAAGTGAAATTGATTTTAGGTTATAAAGCAAGGGATATTGCAGTTGTCTTTACGTTTTCCTGACGAGAAGCACATATCCCACGTTTCAGTTGATTGCACATTGCTGGTTACATTTTGGCAAGTCGAATCCACGCATATTTTAGAGGAAAAATGAATGGAAGGGGCCTCTAGATATTTGTAATTTTTTTTATCAGGATTCACAATTCAAGACTAAAACGCGGTTTGCATGGGTCGCTCGTAGCATAAAGTTGGAATCCACTAATAGGATAGCCGTGAAGTTTTTAATTTTGTGCGGCATTAGAAGTAAAAAAGCCAGGTGTTGTTGCTGATGCTTCAATTCCCAAGGGCGTTGGTCACCACGATGGTGGGGCCATCGGTTAGTCATCGACTTCGGGGGCGAAGAGATTACACAAGGTGTGTGATTAGTCAGCACTACCGCCATCAGTGCATCTACCTTTGACTCGTCAGTGGCTCTCACGCTCTGCACCAATCCGGTGTCGCGTGTGCCGCCCCGAGTGCAGTGATTGGTTATTTGAGAGGCATTGCACGTGTGCGACAGAAATGTTCAATGCGTGCGCCAACGCACACTTCCACGATTAGGCGTAGGAACGCCGACGTGCATGTTCGCAAGCATTCACGCATAGACGCTCATATCAGAAGCTCGGCCTTGGAATACCATCAAGTAACACAGTCACTGTCATCTGAGTGGAACAGTCCTATCTCTCTTGCGTTCGCCATGCACGAACGTAGAGCTCTATGGAGTTTCCTGCACTTACTTCCCCTGCTCCTCTTCCTCCTTCAACCGTCATATGGAGACTATGTGGTGAAGGAGGTCGCTGAACCTGGACGTAAGCCATGTCCTCACTCCCACTCCTTTCGTCTAAAACAATCTTAGTCACCAATTAGTGCTAAGTAAGGAGACGTATAAAGTCATAACGGATCATCCTAGTCTTTGATGGAGGGAAGTACCACTGTAGCCCCAACTTTTATTTATGGAAGTAATCAATCAACAAAATTAGTCAACACCATGAATCCCAAATCTCTTCAGCTTTGAGCTGTTAGTTTTTCTTTTCATTTTGCCATAACTTGTTGAGAAAGCTTTGTTTTTTCACTTTCTGATACGTCAATGTCCCTTATTTGGCGGATCAATCTCTCAGTTGTTGTTTGTGTAAAATTCAATTTTTCTGATAAAGGTTGACTTTTTATTGCATGAACGTACTGAGACGAGTTTAAAAACAAGGATTCGCAATATTTGCTAACTCCGATTGTGCGCAACTCTCACCTGCATGCGTTAAAAGTTGAACAAGAAAAATCTACTGGTCTTTTTTGGGTTCCGAGTGATTTTTTTATTAATTATGCATTAGGATGAGTGATTTTGCAACTTACCGAGAAGATTTGTAACTTTGTGCAAATCCATTGAATCTAATCTCCTACAAAGTGCTACTGCTCCTTGTTGCTGGATTGTTAGTCGATATTTCAAATGAAAGCTGGCAAGCTCTCTATGCCAGTATGCCTGGCTTATACTACACTTAATTGTGCTTTTGTATTTCTTTTTTTGTGAAAAATGTGCATTTGTATAATGTGTGTGCAACACCATGAGGTAGGGCACTTTGTCACCAAAATATTAAAAAAAATACTGCCTCTGGACACTGCAGTATTTTTACGTGGTCGGAGTCAACCAAATCGTGTACGAGACGAATTTGAAAACAAGTTTACAAATAGCGCTCTTGCGCTACATGTCTACATAGTTTTATGAGAAAAATGACCGGCAGAACATCACACCCCCCCTCCCACGTCCAAGCGTAGTAAAATTCCAGCGGCTAGTAGCGTGAGTGTCTCGACCCCAACATGAGAGGCTACCAACTGCGTCTTTATATTAAGCATGTGCCATTTGAAGACTTCATTTTGTTGTACTTTTCGTCCCAAAGCACAAATTCTCTCAGTGACACACCAAAACCAGAATTATGTATTGGTCACCTTTCATTTAAGCCCTACGCCTTTGCTGGTACACTGCATCAAAATCTGCAACTTTTCATCTCATTGCATATTTTAGATTTGTGAATATTAACACTACCATCTTAAAGAAAAACTTACTCAATGTAAACACTGATTCTGAAAAGAAATAATTTGCAGTGATGAATTGATGTTTCTGCGCCTTACCGCAAACGCTTTTACTCTCACGGTGCAGCAAGACATAGTAGCGTACCCATTTCCGGAGTGGGAAGGGCCATGCGCAAGTTCCGCCATGGCAATTCGCACTTGGGAATGGAGAAACCAACTCTTTTCTACCATTCATTGATAGCCAGCATTATCCGTTGCCACACACGTAAGCGCACATAGCATGCTCTTTGACTAAAGACTCACTAAAACGACAATGCCTTTGACATGGTGCACTCGGCTTCAAACTTTCAGGCTATCTCAACCTCCTCGATAAAGAAATGGATCTGAGATTTGAGCGCGATGCAGAAGGCGAAGAGGTGGGATCCGACTTCCTTTTTGTACGATTGGACTCAACCTACGGGGGTCCCTTCGCACATGTGTCACCTATGGATTTAAGTAGCAATGACTCGCTCACCTCCCAAATGATTATGCCCTCGGGTGAAATGTTCCCTTGGTACTCTACCATTGGACTTTTCGCTCAACCGACACCAGTGGAGACTCGTAGTTGTCCCTGGAATACTTCCGCCTGTCCAAGAAGTGCGTTTATACTTGCTAAAATATATGTTTCCCTTTTGGTACTTTTGAACTGTGCTTAATCTTCTAGCAGCTAGATGTCAGTTTAATATTTTTAATTTCGTGGTCGATAGAAAGGCCAATATGAATATGCATATCTGTATCCTATTTGCATTTGGTTAATAGTCACCGTCGATACTAAGGAATTAGTGGGGTTTTATGCTTGGCCTGAGTAGCCAGCAAGCCTGGTGCCTCAAGGTCATTTGCTAAGACGTCACCGCTGCATCTGTTTGTGTGCAAGTGTGTGTGACTGAGTGAGCTATGCAAATTTGGCATTGACGCTTAGCTCGTCAAATGATTCCATAGCACTCCATCTATGGGTACGATTTGAAAGCACAAGGCAGTTGAAATTCCATTATCATCACTGTCATCAGATGAAGTCTACCTGCGGTTCAACTTTCTTCTCGTGGAGGACGTGGACAGAACAGTGGGTGAAAGAGATCCATTCAACCTTGTCACTGTGGAGCCGCACCTCCGCGTTGACTACGAGCCCGCCTCTGGCATTGTGCGGGCCTCATGGGCCAATCATGTCATCTCTGAGGCGTGTCTCCCTGGTGGTATTTCTGATTGGACCACTGTGGAGGTAGTGGTGAAACCAGACACCGGAGAAATGGATCTCGCTATATCAACCCCGGAGGGTGAATGGGCTTTTGGGAATATACGCGTGTTTGTCGGTCCACAAGTCTTGCCAAGTTCCCTTCCGCCCGCTGGAATCCACGTTGGACCTACTAACCATACTCGAAGAGTCCTCACCGCCGTCAGCGTTGCTAATGAAGAGATGACGATCCTCAAGCGGTCCCGAAGGAATGTTTATAGCTATGAGAGGGGGGCTAACGTCTCAGTATTGAACTTTGAGGGTACTAACGGCTTCGTGCGCTACGATTTTCGCAATCGCATCAAGCTGCCGCGGTTGGACGCGGAGGTGGGGAGAGAAGAGGTAGCACTGGATTTTGCCATCAAGCCAGGTGTCACCTCGGGCCTACTGTGGTTCGCTGAGGGAACTGCGTCCAAAAGTTTCATCATTATCAAGGTGAGTGTTTCCGGCGAAAAGGTGTTTTGAGGTAAACTTCTGTGAGGTCACGTGCTTCGTCATTTGTCCTGGGTCAGGAGCTAACGAAAAAGAAAATACGCTACTTTATGATGTAACTTTGTGCATCGACTTTTTAGGGCTAGTAATTTTTCCTGTTATAATCATACATATGTATTGTAGCACCCCTAAGCCATTCACAAAGACTTGAAAAGACGCAAAGTAGTCCGTTAATGCAAAGAAAGACTGGAAGGCTATGAGTACGGACCAAATGCCTTGGGGCATCAAAGCGTTGCTCGGAAGTGCGAAGACGGAAAATCCCATGTTGTTAAATACATCGATACGAAAAATATCCTTTCAATACATGGCTCTTTGTGGGGCTTTATCAATCGTATCAAAAAGGATCAGGTCGTATCACAGAGATAATGCTGCCTATTAGTGGTAGCATACGCTGTAGACTTGATTTGTATTCTCGAATGTAGGGATCTCTGCAAGACGAATTACATCGAAGAAGAAATGATTTGGGTGGAGGAGTATTATGTTCCCAGGATTTGATATAACCGTCACTTTCAAGACTATCTACTGAGCCGTTTTTTAAGAACCATTTGAATTGGTTAAAATCTGACCCTCAATTAGTGGCAATTTTTCGGAATTCTAGATTGGAGATCCGTCAAAGGTGTAGAGAGTATCTACAGATTCAGATATCCATGACAGATGCCCTATTTACATGACTTTTTGCTTTGATGAGTGGCCAATGAAACCGGGATTGTAGTTTTTTTTCAGATAGTTTGGCTATTATTGCCACTAATGCCGTTCCTTGAGTCTTAATATTCCATTCAGTAGGTAGCATTTATTGGCATTATACAGAAGAGCTGGATAGCTAAAGACGTGGGAGAGCGACATGAAACACCAGGATAACAGCTAAGCCAAAGGAGGCTGAAATGTCCGTTTTGTTCAAATATATCATTGCAACTTAAACTACTGAGGTATTAACAAAATAACTTTACCACAGGATTCCAAGCTCTATTACAAGTACATCGAGTACGATGAAACCCATGGAGCCAAAAGGATACTTACCGAAGAGATCGTCATCAACGAGACCTTGGAGCCCGGAAAAACGCATCGTTTGCGACTTAATCGCTACCAAGATGTGGTATGTGAAATATTTCACTTCCGCTGTCGTTAAAAAGGCGTATAAAAAGCAATTAGGTTCAATGGCGTAGCTTTTATAAATTTCTTTGTCCAAAATATTCTTTTATAATAAATCCAGTGGAAGAGATTCCTTCAGTTTTCCAAAAAAAACGCTCAAATCAGTAATGCATTCATGTGACAAATGGCAGTTTTTGCGACAAGATGGTGCTATTTTGACCAAGTAAAACAAACCCAGAAAGTATCTTAATGCAATATCTAATTATTACAGTAGCTTAGCAATATGGTGGGTTGGTGAATTTACCAAATTATTCAAGGGAATAATTGTGTAATGTCAGTGACATCGACTCATCTATTAGCTTGCTAACCCATTTTGTCTATTCTTACAATTGCTGGTATTATCCAATGCTCCTACAGTCTGCGATACGCCGCCTGAAGTGGACTTTTGAAAGTGCTTAATTGCGACTTTTTCGCTCGAATTAATCGCGACGACTTGGGAGCAGTTGTGGAAGGCGTAGTAAGAGTACAGCCCACAGTGAACATTATTCTCAAATCTAAACGCGTAGAAGCGTGTGATTTTTTGCTCAGGCAGACGTAATTATTCACCTCCCTCTATCGATTTGGTGTCGGATTCGACCCTACAGGTGACATGACTCGCTTCCAATTGGCAACTCAATCAATTAGGTTTACTGGCTTCGAATAAGTGAGACTACTCATACATAACTGGCATTTCATCATTTAAACTAAAAGTTAGATTTCAAAAGAACTAGTGTTTGTGTGCGAAGCGGAAAATTTCAAAAATCAAACGATGCCTTGAAGTGAAATAAAAAGAAGCTATGAATCAGAGCCTCCTTTGGGAACTCTTGATCGCTTCTTTTTCCAGCTTCGACTGAGCCTTGGCACACAGCAAAGGTTCAGGAAAATTGTCTCCGGAAAGGCACCATTGATTCCAGAGAATGGAGTTATCTACATTGGTGGTTCGGACAATGCTGCGATTTCAACTGATGGTGAAGTAGCTCGAAACTTTGACGGTAGTGTCACTGTAGTGAGTTGCTTTTCTTACACTATCGCATGTTCTACCTTCGCTTAATCGGTTTTTGAGTAAACACTTGAGATTACAGCTGCAGTTGCGTTTCCAGAGAGGCCTTGAAACTTTGAAGTTCTTGATTCCTAGTCTATGAGCTGCTGGTGTGGATACCACAGCAACGAGAGCTTGTCGTATGTGAAGGCATAACAGTACTTTTTTCCCAGGTCAATTTTGGTGGGTTAAGTACAGCTTAAATTGTCACTTGGATGTTGAATATTGTGAAGGCAAAAATGAAATTTCATTACTAAATTCACATTTAGAATAATTCAGTGGCCATTCGATCCTTGATTCTCGCCATAGTTTAGCTAAATTTGACGCTGTTTGAGCCGCACTGGAGGCGTTTAGTAGAAAACGTTTTATTTTTTGTTTATTCGTGCTCCTTAATTGAACCTGAACTTTGGGAAGTACACGTCCTAGATCAGATAAGACAATCAAGTAAGACATTGAGCAGACTTTGCTTTGCTACGCTGAAAAACACACGCTCTTGTCAGAAACGCTCTCCAGAGTGGTTTTTCAGTATGACCATCTATTCCTTCGTTAGATTGGTTTGGCTTTCAATTATAATTAGTCCCAGCCATTTAAGGGAAGGAAAAAACATATAGTGGATACAGGACAGGGCTCAGCACCTACCTGTTTCCAAAGATCAGCGGGGGTCCTTTCTTAAAACCCTTTAACATCGAAGAAGAGAATCGTTGAATAGTGAATGAAATTTTTTTCAGTTGGCTGAGTAACGAACCACACAGTTTTTAATAGTCAAACTGGCAAAAAAGTTCCGTTAAATCTTTGTCATTCTCCATATTTCGTCCTTCAAAAGGCAAAGATTACTCAGGAGGGTTCGGGCATCTCGAATCTAAACATGTTGGAGTTGATCCGCGATCCAAATTGGACGCGTGACGTATTACGTAAGGGGGACGTGCAATATGAGTACCACATGCCTTTCCGTCCTTCACCGCGACTCCGACCGAAAGATTCCTCTCTCCTCATGCCGACGGCATCAACAAGAGGCCATGCGGGCATCACGTTGCACACCTCGCCCATGCCCGTCACCTTCATGGGCACCCAATCTTCAGTGGTGCGTTTCGACACCTGGGACTTCTCCGTCTTCCATTCCTTCGAAATCGAGTTCCGTACCTTCGAACCCAATGGCGTGCTCTTCTTTGTGTGAGTCTACCCCACCTTCATCTGGTTATCCATTCGAAATCCACCCGTCCACCTCGGATCCCTAAATCTTTCCATTTCTCTGTGCACACATCTATTCATCTAGCTACTTCCTTTTGCTCCATTGCAGGATTCGAAACCGCCTTCCATTTGTGACTAAAAGAGCACTGTTAATTAAGTTATTTCAATCACAGTTACTGGTGGTAATTATACCATCAATCAGAAATTATCCGCCATTTTCACACCCCTGCAATGTTTTACCGTCGAGTCGTTATGAGATCTATTAAATGATGTCTAAATTCATCGTTTGGGTTACTGTGAATGGAAGCCAAAGCTAAATGCCTGTACTGTCGGATGATCGATCATTGAGTAAATCATTCGGCAACTAATCTTGGTAACGGTGAGGTGTGGTACGCGATGTTTCCTTATTTGTCCATTACAAATTGTGCTCAAAATGCGACCAACTTTTAGCGGCTGTTAATTCTGCAGTTTTCTACTCTGTGTAGCAGTAATTTTCACGTTTTTTGTTCTTTAGCTGTACATTCCTACCCCCATACAAGGCGATATTTCTCGTTTTCATCGCTGATAAAAACATCTGTGAAGTGATAGTTTCGCTGCTACTTCTTGATTAAATTCATTAGTGTATTTACAGTGTGGGCTATATGTACGTATTTTCCATTTCAAAGAAATGCTCTAGTCTGGTGTGAAAACTATGAAAGCATGCATTTGAATATTTAATAATCACTGGTGAGAATTCCATTAAAGTTTTGGCCTGTAAGTTAAAACTATGGGTTTCGTTCGGTCTTTTGATAGGGCCTGTTGGTTGTAGCCATTTTAAGACAATGAAATCCTCTCATTTCTTAGTAAAATTGGTTTTCTTTCATTGGAAGAAGGAATGATGCCCTGAGGTTGAAGGGTCCCATGAACAAAAGGGATTTTCATTGCAGGACTTTGATGCATTAGCCAAGACACTTCATGTTATTGCGCCGTGTTAAATGGCTGTCTTTATAAGGTCGTTACTTTGACTGCAAAGTTACGGAAGGAATCGAGTTTTTTTCTATACTGGCAGTTTTCAAACAAGGCGTAAACCGATCCTGATTTATTCAATTTGTTCTTGCATGAATGTGATAGTGTTGATGCCTTTTTCGCGGTATTAAGAGCTCATTAATTTAAAAAATCAATTGAATTTGTTTGGTGCGCACAACTTTTGTGGCGCATAAAAATTAAGTTTGCCGTCGAGGTTTGGTGGGAGAAAAAGGCTCAATGTGTTCGACCTTTCCAGTTGCTGTTGATGAACCCCGAGAGTGGAGTAGTTATCGGTACTAAAGTAGCGCGACCACCGTCGCTCGGCCGCCCGAATTATTCCCTAGCTTACTTCACTGAGGTGGTGGCTTTTACAATTATCTTAGCACCACTTTATTGACTTAGTGGCTTAACCCTCACAACGAATTTAAATTCCAGATTTTTGTATTTATGTAATAGCTATGGTTAACATTGTTCTCCTGTGGCAGCTAAAATATACACCGACCTTTCCGGCGAAAAATTTGGGCTTTCGGGATCAACATTCTTCTCCGATTCACAAACCAGTTATAAAATTATTTTCCCAATTCAATCCCACTTAAGACTAGAATAAAATACCTTCACAATGAAGATTAATGCAATTTTGTGCACTCGTGGTAAACCACGGATAAAACAATTTCGTGATATAATCATACACGCACAAGAATGGGGTATTGGGGCTGTCAACATTATGCAGTTTTAGGGTCATTTTTCCTTCCCCCTCCCTCTTCCACTTTCTTACGTTCTGAGGGCACGTGATACTGCACTTTTTTCGACGCACATGCTGTGGAACTCTGCGTCGTCAGCCCGTCTTCATACTGCGCGAAAAAACTGATTACTTCGTGGGAAGCAGCAGCGGCAGACGATCCCACACCTACACGCTTATTACTGTGTATGTGTGCAGGTATACAGAAGTGCGCGTGTGTGCGGCACTACGTCCTCCGGCTATTGGCCCGTTCGTATCGATTCATCATGTGGGAGGCTGGTATAAGCCAATCCCCATGCAGTGTTGCTGATACACGCGAGTGTGTTCTGGAGGGTGGTGATCCACTGCTGTTTGCACCCAATCAATAGTCCGTTGGTCGTATTACGGGGATGAGGGGAGAGAGGGTAAAGCCACTTACACGGGTAATTTTCGTGGCTTTGTCACCGTCTTTTTCTGTGGCACACGCCCTAAACAAAACAGTTAACCTCACAATAATTCTCGTAGGATGTCGATCTCAGGAAACTTTACTTGTAATAAATGCATTTCTGTCGTTTGACAAGAGCTAAAAATTATTGACTTCTCTGTTGAAGTTTCGAAATTCTGCTTGGCACTTGACAGTGATTGGTTGAAATTGTAGTGCTATTGTTTTGTGAAACGTGTTTGATGTATCATCAACCCTTGCTTTGGTATATTTTACGCAATTTTCGTATGTATTATCGCTTGGTTATTGAGTTATTTGTTGAGAGCAAAAGAACTGCTCTTTGTTCTCTTTTGTATTCAACATCTACCTTGTCCTCTCTCGTAATGGACTTTTAGTGGACCGGATCGTGAGCACACAGACTTTGTGTGTGTGGAATTATTCGATGGAAATGTCTACTTCGCCTACGGCATCGGCGATCACTACAGGCACATTCAGTTGAACCCGACTTCCCGTAAGGTGAACACGGGAACGGCCCACCGAGTGTATGTAGAGCGAACGCCTCAGCATCGCTTCATTGTGAGTTTGTTGGTCCGTTCTTTTCACGACCTGATGATGCGCTAAATAAGTTGAAGCGGTTAGGTTATCCGGGAAGCGATGTCGATCTCAGACAAGGTAATACAGACAAGTAATTAGATAAGAATATGAACTTGAAACGTTAAAAGGTAGTAACATACCCAAACAATCAACATCCGCAAAACTCCGTTAATTTTCAGATATTGGTGGAATATTCGAAAAAAGAACACAGAACGACCACTTTAATTGCTATGCTAAACGATATTGTTCTAGCGCATTTGTTTATCTGGTCACCATTTTTGCATCATTTCTGGTAAGCATTTTAATTGTGACAAGAAAGTTTGTTTGACTTACGCTGATTGCTGGTTCTGTGCTTTATTCACGAACTTGATTTAGGTTTTTGTTTTCAACTGAAAGTTCCCAATAACAGTTACCTTCCAAATAAAACTAAATTGATAGGAGATATTTCGACTTATAGTAATAAATTTATGAAGCTGAATTAGCCATCAACAAGACAAAAAAGCATTTATGTTTAGGGGGCGAGAAAATGAAGGAAATAGTTAAATTTTAGAAGTCGAAGCTGTTGTTAAAATGTTTTTTTTTTTGAGTGTTTTGGATCAAAATCCAACTAAAAATACTTGAACAAACTATTGATTAATTGAGTTCTGAGCAAATCGGACTAGTTTCGGCTTGGAGGAGTGATCAATCTAATAAACTGGGTCTAGACTTTCTGTTGTTTTTCGGTTATTTTCAATTTACGTTTGAAGACGGTTTTCTGTACCCTTTACAAATTTAAAACCACTTTTATGTGAACCATTTTTAAATAATTATGAAAAATTTTTGAGTATTTTTTATTTATTTGGAATTGATTAGGTCGTAGATTGGATGTTTTTTGGCACAAAAGCTCAGAAAATGCCAACTTTGGATAGAAAGACGGTAGGATTTAATGGATTGTGTACTCCGTTATCATTGGGACAGGTGAAGTACAACGGGCAAGAGATCGATGTAGATCAAGGAACCTCGCGGCACCAGGCAGAATTCTCGAGCTACACCTACTTCGGTAGCATTGACCAGCCATCGCGCTTCCCCTGGATCGTCTGGTCTCGGGAAAACTTTGCCGGTTGTATCAACTTTATTCGTGTCAATGACGACAAATTTCTTGATCCTGCCTCGTAAGTTTATTTCCTTCTTCCTTAATATATCCAGACCGACAGGGAAATTTCCGACTTGCATATCCACGGATTCAGCCAAATCCACGGGCTTTTTCTGAACTTAGCTTCAAATCCATTATCCAAGCATTCGATTGAAGTTTAAATCGTCCAGATATCCACTGATGCGAAGCCACTTACTGATTCAAGTAATTGACCTTTGCCATTCGTTTCTGAATGAACTGCTAGAAAAAGTTTAACCCTAATTTGAACCATTTGGCTGTCAAAGAAGAGTCTTGAGTTAAAAATGTGTGAATTGAGCTTCACATTTACTCACAAAATCATCTCACGGAACTAAAATTTGTTCATCCGGTTAGTTTGTTGACAACAGAAAACTGTCCTTATATGATCGAAAATAACTAACTTCCCTTCATTATCAAAATGACTTATTTCGTTAGAAGCACTTCCTTGGAAGTTTGTATCGTATTTGCCTTTAACTTCTTGAAAATTGCGCTCAATCACTAGCTACATATTTTTTGTTAAAAGCAAAAGCAGTAAAGAAGCATTGTGAAGCTCGTTCCACGGAATATGTCTATTTTGTGCACTTTAATTTTAAGCTTTTTGAGGATTTACTAAACCCTTAACAATCTGTTAGGACTTTTATGATTCAGTAAACGGATACTACATGGTTTACATTGAGAAGCTTAAAGTATGTTAGCTGAAGGCTCTCCACTTATTTCGTAGATGTTGACTTTGAATGCGGATCTCAGTAACGTTGACCCAATTGAGATTGGAACCGGAACGTCTTTTGATATGTATAGAATAATGGCACTGTTTACTGAGTAATTTGTGCTTAAAGCTCGAAAATATGCCGTAACTTGGTCTCCTCTGTGTCGTTCACTAGTCGAATGAATCAGCACACTGATTTGAGCCGCGGCATACAGTTTGGAGTCTGCAAAGCTCCCGATCTCCGTTGCAACCGTGAAATATGCGGTGGTGGACAGTGTCACGAGCAATCCTATCCCTTCTTTGAGCCAATGAACTTCGCCTGTGATTGTTCCGCCTCGGACAAGACCTTCAGAGAGGGTGTGGAGGACATTCGACGCTCCGAAGCATGCAACCGTGGTAAGGGGTTTCTTTGGCCGCTTTTTACTTAAATATTTTCAGTAAAAATGTTATAAAGTTTTATTCCGCTACATTTAAGATGCACCAATTGTCGATTTCGATGGTGAAACCGTAATAATGATTGACTTTGAGCGCCAGATGAACACCCTGACAACACACACAGATGACATCAACCTGCAATTCAAGACGGACAGCCTCTATGCACCACTTTTTGTGGCTGTATCAACCGCAGAGAAGCAGTACTTCCGTGTGGAGCTCGAAAATGGTCTCATAAAAGTCAGCACCAACATGAATAAGGCCAGCAAACCACCTCGCGACGCTGTAAGTTCATTCACATTTGTCTTCGATAGAGATGAGCCAACAATGCACTTTGATGGGTGGCACACTATGCGAATAGTTTGCAATAAATGGAGCAAAATTATTCGCCCCAAGTTAGGCTCGCATGAGGGTTTCGAGTAGTTACATCAATGGCGTGCAGTGTATTAGTTCGGGTAATGCTTGACGGTTGGCGGATATACCTTCATTGACTTAAGACCTATTTAATGAGGGTATTTCGTTAGCACTTACTTTAAGCTGACAAATTGCTCCCTTTAACGTGGACCCTGCTATTAGAACGCATGGCACACGAAAGTGTGGCTTTTACGGAAGATTAAATAAAGCAAAACTTATTGCACTCTGAACGTTATAAGGTTTGCACTGCTGTCGTTGATGCGATACTTGTACTTCCTCCTAGGGGTTGTACTGCTGTGCTCAAAATAGCTTATTTTAAGCAAGAGGACGGTAAAATAAGTTAAATATAGTTCTATTCAGTCTATCGGTCTGTACATTCGTTCATCCAAACGTCTAGTAGACCGTCGTAAGTTTTACGAAACGATAAGAAATTCGGGATATCTACGGACTAGAAGGGTTGACCGCATTCCTTGCACAAAATATCCTACATCTTGTTTGGCATCTCTTCTAGGAATTTCTGCTGCAAAGTCCACGCTTGAACGACAACAACTGGCATACTCTGCGGATACGCCGTCGGGCCCAATTCCTCTACATCAGCGTGGACAACGCGAGTGAGAACAATGGAGTGTTGGTGGTGGAAATCCCCAAGGGCGTCTTTAACAACATTGCGCAGCAGATCTATGTGGGCGGCCCGATGCCAGAGAACTATGCCTCCCCACCCTACGGCAACATGGCGGGCTTCCTTCCCAAAGGATCCAAGTTTGTTGGTGAAATGCGCAATTTCTACTGGAACCAGTACGACTTCTTTGGTACTCGGCAACTGCCTACTCATTACACCACCGACGTCCTTACGCCGCGTCTTGAGTTGCCAACTTTCCCCAGTTGGCCACGGGAGCCCATATACTCCATTACTTGCACTTCCAAACTCAACTGGGGCACCATCCAAGTCCCCATGAAGGCTAAAGAGGCTGGGGACATGTGGCTGCTGGAATTCAAGACCAAATACGACGGCGTTCTTGCTCACGTAAGCGTGAACAGTTTCGACATTGACGCTTTAAACAGATGAGGAGACGGAGAAGTAGGGAAGATTGAAAGAGTTGTGGCTCTAACTTGGTGACACGGAACGGCGTTTCATTCAGAGTTTGAGCGCACATTTCCCCCTTTTAAGACCTTATGCAGTGCATCTATTTCCATGGGGCCCGTTAGGTGCATGGATCAGCTAATGTCACAACTAGTAATCCGACGCATGTTAGCGTTATTGGTGGAAAGGTTAAAAAGTACTTAATTGGTAGAAAATATAATCAAATGGGGTATCTGAGATCTGGGATGCGTTGTGACGATGCGCTCTGAAATGGATCGCATGCCCTCTTAATTTGTCTCTGCCTTGTCAGTGATTGTGTTGACACGCGTTCGGCTAGCGCTAAAAATTGGGAGGAACGTGAAGAATTATCTCCAGTAATTGCGTTGCGATCACGGCGTAAGGATTTGTTGTTAAAAACCCAGTGTATGCATATTTGCAGAGAGTGCTCTTTTGTTATGAGTATTTACAGAGCAAGATGGAATGAAAGGTTAGTATTAGTAAGAATTGTTCGACAGCAAACGAATTTGAATCGAGTCAAAGCATAGATGAAATTGGGCGATAGAAGAATCTTCGTATGCTGAGGAAAAGTGTTCACTAAGAAATGTACCGATTATCTCAAAGCGTTGGTATTAATGTTTCTGCCTGCTTGGGAGAAAATTTCTACTTATCTGTTTAGATGTGTAGCTTAACGCTGCATTTGAATTACATGAATCAGACTACATTAAAAAAAACATTTTCTTTTGTCCATCAAGTCGACGGGCTTTTGTTGAAATAGGTATGTGAGGTGTGTCTGTGGGCATTATGCTGATAGCCGCTCTCCCGTGTCCCAATACAGGCACGAGATGAGAATACGGGGTCGCACTTCACCCTGATGATACTCAAAGGTCGTCTGCACCTCATCTACTCAATCGGCGGAGTAACGGGTGTCCACGAGATCATCAACAGTCCTATCTCCGTCGCCGACAATCGTTGGCATCGCGTCACCTTCGGTCTGGACCGCGTCAAGGGTCGCTTTGTCATCATTGTCGATGATTCAGCCCCCGAGGTGGGTTCCAGTCGCCACACTAGCTGCTAATCACGTGACACCAACTGTCACGACTGGTCGGCCTCTTGTCTCACTTTCATTGAATCCTCATCCTAACCCTCATCTTAGGCTGTCATCATTGCCAAAGGAGCGGTGAGTTGCATTTGAACCACATCATCCTCATCGCCTATGCATTCAGCGAAATCGTTTCATTTCACACTTACCATATGCGTAACATCACCTTAGGTTAACACCTTTTTTCATTCAAAGTGTTCAGGACTAGTGGTAGGAATGCCGCCTAGGGTAAAGGGAGATAAAGAAGGAATTAGTAGGATTTTTGTTATTAACCCTTATTGCAGACGATCAAGGTGTTTACTCTTGCACCATACCTATCGCCACAATTGGTACGTCTCTGTGTTGTGCGGTCAGTGTGTAATTATTCAGTCAGAGTATCAATCTCTCTGTTGATTATTACTATACTTATCACCGCTTTCACTCAGGGTCAGTGTGTTACTCCTTCACTTTTTATCACCAAAACCTGCTGATTTGCATGACATTTTACCATCTGTATCTGCTTTATCATTCCTCCTTCTTGCCGCCATCACTCACTGTGCCCTTCTGGTACATACGGAGAGGTCTTTTAAACCCGTGAGGCTTGCTTTGTAGACCTTCGGGCACCGCTTGCAGCACAACACACTGAACTCGCTAACATTCGGTTTTGGCGGAGTGCCAGGAATTTGGAGTAAAATTTTGGAAATTATTCGCCTCCATGCGCCTACTTCCCTACCCAGCGGCTACGAGGGTAGCCCCCCGGCGCTCACCGGCTGCCTTGGCGGTTTCAGCACTCGCACAGATCGTTTTTTGGTCGATTTGCTGAAGAAGTACGATACACAGTTGGAGAGCTATCCCACTGGGGAAATTATTCGTGGCTACTGCCGTGGTGAGTTTACGAGCTCATTTGCCGTTAGAGTGAGGTTCGGCCGGCCTAAGTATGTTAAAAGTGGCTCCCTCCGTGAGTGGTTAGCGCAAGCGAATTATTGAAACAATGCTTGAGTACATTTTTTCATCTAGCCTCAAGGTTCGATGTTACTATCACCAATGTTGCCATCATTCAATTTACCCGTAAACAAGGCCTTAGTCTTCTTTGAGATCCTGCCGTAATAATAGTTCAAATGTTATGGATTGGTGTTCTATGATGAGGTAGTGGATATACTTAAAAGTTTCGCCATAAAATATGTAAAAAATCCAAGTTTCGAGCAAAATTAAATGAGTTATGCACCTTAAACCACCACTTTGTTTAATGCAGTGATATCCTTGCCAGCAATGGTGGCTCTTACAATAAAAGGCTAGCACCACCATGTACGGCTCAACATATTTCCGAAATATTTTGAGACAGGATAGCCGTATTTATTTATGTGGGCAATTTTTACTAACTTTATCCATCTTGTGCTGGTGTATTATTGTTTGGAAGTGCAATCTGCAATGGTGTAGCATATGCTAGCATTTCTCACTCACGTAGTGATTCTAATGAACCAATATTGACTCGATAACATCTACCGCATCTAGTTCGTCTCCTCTCTTTATATCTATTATCAGTTATCCTATTTTTTCAATAAGTTTCTGAATATAAATATTAAGTTGTTTTGCTAAAATGAAATGCCTTTATCACAAAATACTACTTTCCAACTAAAATCAAATTACGATATCTTCATTAAAAGCGGAATGTGTTTGCGAACCAGGTAAGAATGAATAGGTGACTCGCAGTAGATGCCTCCCCGAGAATTAGTCGTAGAAAGTTCGTATACACTCCCCATAGACTAGCATTTGCCCAAAGCACATTGCATTAACCTTGGTCTTTTTTCGATTTTTATCACAGATGGTGAGTCTTCCTTGTCCAAGCACTTTGAAACGCATGTTGCTTTATTTTTCGTCTTTTTAGTATTTCATTTCACTTATCTCCTTTTTGTTGTCCGTTCAATTCGTGCTTCCAATGTTGCCAAAAAGATTTGTTGTGGTTTAAATACGTCCCCACCATGCTTGACAGATGTCAACCATACATATATTCTATTCGTACTTTCGCATTTGCTGTGCACCAGCTGTGCTTAATTTACAGTACAAGCCATTTCTTTGTCTAACAACTTTATTTGATTTTAATTTGATCATGAAGTAGAGGTTAATAAATAACCTGCTTGCTCGCCTACCTTTGAGTTTCGCTTCTCACCAAGCCTCGAAAAGAGGTGAATAAATTAAGTAGGTATGATTGAATAGCCGTCGTTTTGCATGATCTTTTTTGCGCTCAAGCCCACAAAAAAAGGCAATTATTCTTGGTTATTTTGCCCTCCCGTTTTCCTTGTCGCAGACCTGGTTAGATGCACTCCCGACTACTGCCTCCATGGCGGTGTCTGTACCAAAATGAGTGAAACTCTTCTACACTGCGACTGCACCAACACAGGCTATACGGGCCTGCACTGCGAGGATAGAGTTACCACCTGCCCACGGAACTACTGTCTCAATGGTGGCATCTGCACCATTGTTGGCACCAATCCCGTCTGCAATTGCCAAGGCACCGGCTATTACGGTGACCGCTGTGAGT